TAGATCATAAGCTTCCCTTTCTGATGGGCCTGACATCTCAATCATGATACAAAGGCTCTTCGGCCCCAGGGCCCCCCGCATCCCCGGGAGTTCCGGATTGTTCGTATGTAGTAAGTAGCGCTTGCCCTAAGCCAGCAATAACATAACCTGCAAGATCATGAGAGTCGAATTGTCAGAATCTGTCCGAAAACAGCTACTGTTTTATTGGTGGGGTCGGTTACTGCTTCTCAGCGTTACTGACCCTTTGCAGGCAGTGAGCAGACATACCGTGCATCTAGCAGCGCACACCCCTGCATAGATGGTAAGAGACCCAGATGATCATCCATCAGCCTAGCCAGCGACGCATCGATCTACGTGGACAAGGCCCGGCATAGAAAGACGTCGTACTTAGCAAGAAATCTGCCTCATCAACTTCTGTGACTTGGTGGATATGGTCTTAGTTCCTAGGTCCCGTGTCGTCCACATGAACAGCATTCAGTATCGACTTTTCGCAACTCAGGCAAACAAGGGAACGATCAGGGGTTTTCAATGTTTCTTTACTTAGTAGATCTATGGAGGCAACTAAATTTAGATAAGGTATCGTAGTCTGAGTTCAATACGCCACCGTCCAGCCTGAGATTGGAGTGCTGTTCCCCAGAAAATTTCTTCCACCGGGGGAGTGAATGTGCCAGAATACCCATCCTAATACTCATAATTAATTTCCCAGTTCGGAATACCAACGAATCATTGGAGTTTTTGCATGGGTAAATTTCCAGCCCTCTCTCTTCGACTGTGCAGCTTTTGGTCCTCTCCTGAAACATTGAGATGACTTGCAGGCTCTGAGCCATGTATACCAATGCACCGTAGAAGCCAAGACGCATATTATTCGTAAAGAGGATGCTCCTTTGCTGACATTTAGGTACTTTGAGTCAGCATGAGAGACTCCAAACTGCCATCAGGGTACGGAAGGCAGAGGGAAGGGAGCTTGTTCACTTTCATCGATACAAGGCGAAGCAGATGGTAAAAGGCTGTCTACTTGAGTGGAAAGCGGGACAAAGAAGCGAAACAAGGCTAATGTGGTTTTTCAGCAGGAAAGATGATCACTTGAACCACAGCAATGGCCATGGTGATGACTAGTAGCGATATTCTCACCTTCAGTTCAGTATTTATAGAACGCGGATGGTCTTAGTCTCTGTGTATGGATCAATAACATCATGTAAATCACAACATACATATAAGAACCAATTCTCTCAAAAGGTATTGCCTATTTAGGAAGTTGCTACACAGCAGATCAGGAAATGAAATAAGGAAAAATGGTTGACAGCAGCATCTAAGTACCGCTATGTGAATAATACCTCTCCAAGCCAAAGTATTATCTTTTGGCCTGACTTCACATACAGTCCCATGTACTGGGCCCGTGCCTAACACCATATGTAGCCTTCGCATGCCGTTTAATCCCCCAGAAAGTCGGGATTACCCAGTAGTAGTAAGCGTACATATATTCAAATCTGGAAGCAGTCAGCTTCTAACTTTCTCGAACTAGCGTATTCTGACCTCTTACTGTATGTACATGGGGCTAAGGCAGTTATAATTTCAGTGGAGGCGTCTACAGGCTGTATGTAAGCTTCATGGGTACAGGCTTCAGGGTATATCCCTGCTTGTTTGCGCCATCGTAAGACAACGAGTAACCCCGATTCAAGTAGGCGTTTGGTTAAAGACTGGGTAAGGACAAGGAGCAATGACTGAAGCGGGTCTGCTCCCTGCACAATGGCCATTGGTGCTAGACATGGTTAGCAGACGGGTGGAACGCTCGCAAAGGCTAAGCATCCATTTCTTGAGGAGAAGGGGGGAGGCAATGCAACCCTCACTAGTCTAGAATTCTCAACCAAAGGAACATAATATCATATACAATGTCGACACCCGAAAGGGTCACACAAAGTATCGAATTTCAAACTGAGTGAAGACAGAATTTCATGCTGTCAAGTCCGGATACTTGCATTGGGGGTAGATAGAGGAGACGCGTACATAATACGAGCTACATGGTGTAGTGTAAAGGACAGTTCTCACCTATCTTGCTTACCTTCAGGGGGTATTGACCTTGTGGCGATAACAAACCTACTCCTGGTTCCGTCCTCAGGACTTCCTTTCGCATGGTGATGCCGAGTCAAGCCGGGCTGGTATTGATTAGAGAAAATATATGTATCTGTATCTAGGGAGAAATCGGATCTCTGACTGGTAGTGCTTGCTCTATGCTTCTGATGAATTCAGCATCATGTTTGGTTTGGCTTGCAGCACACCTGAATAGGGTTAATGGGTGGAATTAACGATCCTGCTCATGTGACTACTACTAGTAGACATGTTTGATTGACGCCATGCACCGACTTCTTCTGATCGGGCTTCTCTCTTCAACGGCATGGTGATCACAGTACACAGTTCTGTGTGTTAGACAGCGCTGATACCTGCCTATTCACCTGCCTCCAACGGTTTTCTGTTTATCCTCCCTCCTCTTTTCCTTTTTCATTTATTTTTCTGTACTTTTACCTCTCCGCTAAGATAGTCCCTACTGAGATAGTATTTGCAGGTAGGCGACCTACATCATTTCAATTTGGTTTGTCCACAAGTTTCCAAAAGTAGTTAGGTATGTGTCCCAGGTTGGACCTAGCCACGGTCACCAGTTATACACCCATTGGCCACCGGTGAACTGAAGTTTGAACGACAATCGTGGTTATTGCAAGCCCCAAACACATTCGCCTCTTCTTTGAAGCTTGGGTGCTAGTTTGTTGTCTCTTCCAGTCCCGCTTTTTTTCTTTTTTTTCTTTTTTTCTCTTGCCTGCCTTTGCTATTATTCAGCTTCTGGCAATCAGTTTCTTAATAACAACCTGTGTACGAATAATGTATAGAGGTGCTGTTCTCCAGTTAGTCAGGCTCCTGCATACCTACATTGTTTTACTTATAAGCGCCCGAAATCTGGGCATCGCCCATTCGGCGTATCATGTTTCAAAAGGAGTTTCGGTGTTAAGCAGTTAGTCGCCAGCTCATACATACATTAACACGCCTACAAGGGGGTAGGCACTTACCCAGGTATCTACCTACCCTCGTATCTGGCGGTTACTCAACAAGAAAAAGCAAAGGAGACTTCGCAAAACGAAGAAACAGCAAAATGGTTTCAAGAATTGCCAAGTGTCACCCAATCGAGTGCCGATGCTGGCGACGATGCTGGCGGCGCCAGCGACGACGATGTTAGTGATGACGTTGTCCTCATTATCCGCGACAATTCAGAGAGGTATCTGAAAGGCAGCCAATTAGCCTAGGCAAGTGGTTTGCGGCCTAACACTGAGAAGGACCAGCACAGCCACTCTGCGATATTCTCTACCTACCTCATGGCCATGTCTACTTGGACATCGGTGACGTCTTCTATCATGATGGCTCGGCAATGCATCAGTTATATTTGCACATGAAACCAGGTGTCGATTACTGAGATACCATTCAATTCCTTGCCTCCATAAACCAGATGCAGCATCAGTACATCCATTTTCGTCCTACATGTGGTTGCGTGCTGCAGGAGTTGTTCCAACTGCTCCATTGGCTGTAATATGGCTGGCAACTGTAAAGCATCTGTCTCCATCATACGGTAGCTCATCATTTGAGGCCGGGATCGTGTATGGAAGAAGCAGCACTAACGGGGGGCACATTGTTCTTCACTTAGATTAAGGTCTCCAGCTACGGGCAAGATATCCCTGTTCGAACTCTGGAGCTCTACTTATGCTGATCTTATGCTGACATCAAACCGACGCCTTGTCTGACGCAGATACAAGCCTGTTCAATCTGCCGAATGGTATACTCAAAGAGAGGCAAACGATCTCACGTTTCTGGTATCTGCCGGTTTGTAGCTATCATTATTACTTGAATTATTTTTACTCACTCTTATTCTGTTTCTGTTTCTTTTCATTTCAGTCATCAATTTACTCATATATTTTGCATTCTGCGCAACCTGGCCATGCCTCTCAATTACCTCGGACATCAATAGATATGTATCTTCTCTCTTCTGTTGCCTAGATGCAATTCGTGAATAAGTATTGTCATTTACCCAACTGATATTCCAGCGTTCCTTTTCTTTTTCTTTGATCGCTTTGTGTCTCATATATTCCGTCTTTTTTTTTTTTTTTTTTTTTTTTTTCGAAAATCTCTTTTTCCAAATTTCTTTTTTCCCTTTCCATACCCCTCACCTTTGCGTTATGATGCCTGATCCCTGTCGGTTCCACAGCTGTTAGCCACTGCTTTCCTTCTCATTCCCTCTTATCGAATCTTCTCCTACCATGATCTTGCAGTGGGGCTGTTCTCGTGGATGAATCCAGAATACCCCATTGCCGTTTTCTCCCATGCTCCCTTACATTTATATTTCATTTTGCAGCTCGCTTCCTCTATCCTGGCCGCCCTCTGTGCATATGCAGAGTACACATGCCTGGAGAAAGAAGCAATTTACAAACTTCAAGGATTTTTTTTGGTCTTTCTTAGTTGCGGCAAGATTGCAGAATGGTTAACCTTGCACCCCTGTCAAATATTTTGCCTTGGTCTTGTGCATATCGTACCAGCACATCCTATACGGACCGTACTGAGGCTTCCTGGAGGGTCTGGTCAAAGCTCTGTCTGCTTCACCTTTTAACTGCCACTTTGTACCCACTTTTGCTTGACATATTTGGCCCTACTTTCCCACAATTGTCAGGTCACAGTAGTCTGCCAGGCTATCGAACTTCCCGAGCATCTTTCCTCTCTGTCTTGATTAGTCCTCCCTGTTCCCTTAACCCTAATTCGGAGCAACAAGATTCCTTTATCTGGTCTCTCACGTTGGGCTCGATACGATTGAAAGAGTAGCGAACGCAGAAAGACTGCTTCACTTCCCAAGACGACTATTAGGAGCCCAGTCATACGGTCCTTCTCCGAGTGTAACTGCAAACCAAGATCCTTTTCCCGTCTAAAGGAATTATAAGTGTCTCTCTGGGCTTTTGGCAGACCTGTTCAGCATGAGTGGTTACCCAAGGCGCAACAATCACGATGGCTCTGATACCTACATCGTGAACCACCAGCTTGCCTTACCTGTTCCATACAGTCACGGGGACAGTCACGACTTTGGGGTAAATGATACAGGATCGTATCCTTTCCAGCAGCAACCATTCAGTACTTATGCGTCACATTTTGGTTCACCCTACAGTCATTCTGGCATCACATCCAGCACCCACCATCTGTCACCACATCAGTCACCGGGCCATTCGGTCCCGTCAACTCCAGATCATGTACCTCTTCAGCATCATATCCAGTATATGCCTCAGTCACGTTACCTCCAGTCACCAGGGTTTCTCCCACTTCGTGATGCATTCAGCGAAGCAGATATTGAAAGCCAGGATTCGCAGAATGAGAGTTCCATGCTATCAGAGCCAGTCATTCCTCCACTGGACGGCTTTCCTAATGTAAGGGAGTTTGATCAGTTGATGAAAAGGTAGGATGAACCCCGTTCACTTTGGACTCACGTTATATGCATGCTCAAATATTTGACAGCTATGTCGACGACCTTTCCGTCAAAAAGCAGGATAAGGCTTTAATCCACGCCAAAAGAGCACGGAACATCAAGACTGTACTGATGGACCCCAAAGACACGGCTGTGGAATCAGCCCAATTCCGGTAATTCGCCCCATTGCAAGCGATATAGACTCACTTCACTTGAGGCTAAAGTTTATGTTAATCTAGATTCTGGGTAAAGAAAATGTTCAAGCTCCAAACAGTCGGCACCGGCACATCAGATGTTCGTCTACAATCCAAACTATTTAGGACCTTGGGTGCTAACCTTGAGTGTGATTTTCAAGTGCACGAAAATGATTTGCCATGAGGGAAAACCAGTGGCTATTCGAGAGAAACTTTTCAAAATACTCACTAGAGCACATCAACAATGCCAACACGGAGGCAGAGACAAAACATCAGCTCGAGTTAGACAAATCTATTCATGGTAAGCTCGCATTCCCAACTCAATTCTCGATCCTGATGGGATCAGAGAAACCGCATCTTTTCCTCTTTACTCCTATCACACACACTTTGAGATCTTCTCTTCCCCCTGCATTCTCTCTTCTTGCTCATTCTCTCTACTCAGCCTCAGCAAGTCCCAAGTTAATCATTAGTCCAGGGTTCCAAAGGAGCTTATTTCACGCTTTGTCAAGATATGTCCGACCTGCCAAGTGCGTCGAGGAGGCCCGCGCTTGACACCTCCTAGTTCAAGGAGAAGCTCACCTCGCCTAGAGGTACTATCCCGTTCACCAAAGCTACCATCACCGCCTATGTCAAGACGTGATTCAACCTTGAATGGACAGCTTGTCCTGGAGAGACCGCAGTCGGACTACTTTACCCAACTTAGCAGCCATGGCACTTGGCTAGACAGCCAACGATCTCTACAGGAGAGGCAGGCCATCAGTGCAGGCCATGTGCGATCCTTCAATGGGGGAACGATGGGCCATCTGCCAGGTACACTCCCAGGCACCCTAGATTCGTTTCATGGAGATATGCCAGTATCGTCATCCCAAGTTAGCTACAATGCGGGCTATCCTTCCACGCACGGGCCGTCCAGTCATAGGGACTACTAGAGGGTGGTAAATCACAATAGTATCTGTTGTATGAACAAGTGGGCTAAGCCATGCAACTGGAAACTTAATATGGGATGGTGGTATAGCACGTCTCGACTGTCTTCTGATCGCCACCTACACAATCATTAATACGAGCTTCTTTAGTCTTCATAGCACTGTCCATCATTTTCTTACCTCCCAATGAACATTCTTATCGGATCTGAAACGCGCGCCATAGGTATCTAATGCTGGGGATTCGCCATCGCTACATTCACTTAACACCAGTGTCACCATGGTTGCCTGTGAGAGTATGGAAAATGCATTATTTTAGGCTAAATCGTCCTCCCGACTATAATAATTAGAATGCTACATGACTTGTCCTCTTCGCATGGGTCGGGTAAGCCTATAGCGCGTACCGACCAAGATTAGTTGCGTGAATATTTGCTACTTCATAAAAGTACCTGTCGCTGGACAACAGTTAACATTCAGTGGTAGCTAGACATATATTTTCCCTCCAACTTTCCGCGGAATTGCACGGTTGACCATCCTCCTCGGAACTCGCAATACCGTTTGTGACGAAACCAGTCACCATGTACGCCGAACTTAAACAGGCAATGAGAACTTCTTGCCCTTCATAACCCTGTATGACAGTTAGCCTCGCCCCGAGAACTCATAGAGGAAGCCTGTTCGCGCTCACTTGGTGTAGTAGATATAAAAGAAATCCGAATATAATAGTGTCTGGACGATACCAGCTACGACAGGGATGGGTTGAAAGTGACTCTCTGCAAAATAGCGATAGATCCAATTAGGGATGTAAAGGGCGCGATACAATCCCAAAGCGAAAAGATAATGTGTCGTTATGGTGTCTGCCTCCCCAGTGCGCTGAAGCATGAAAAGTTGGGGCAAGATAGCCACGGACTCGAGCCATATAGAGAACGTCCAGAGAATCTAATAAGGTCAGATTAAGTGTGACATAAAATCCTTCCAGGGGAAATACCTCTGAGACGCTATAATCATGCGGGAAAAGGAGCGCCAATAGAGCACTAAACCCTAGGAGATACTGCACTTTGAAGGTATCAGTATTGGGGTCATGCGTTGGCTTGTAGTCGTTGAGCATGAGGTAAATGATGTAAGCCGACGAGCCGATGAACAAGATTTTGAAAGTTGTGTTGTAAAAGGAGTCCGTGAAAGCCCAGAACAAATCTGTAACAGAAGTCCGTCAGAGAGTTATGCCTATATAATCGAGTGCTGAGGCTCCGAAGCTTACCAAGATAACGCGTTACAAAAACCATCAAATATAGCGCCTGGGACTTGAATGAAAGTCCTGAACAACTCTATATCCAGTCAGACAAGGCTAAGAAACAATTGTGCTGACAACATACACTTGAAGACTTCATCTTCTGTAATAGTATGAATATGGACGCGAGGTGAGAAAAGTCGGCTTGATTGCATTGATTAGCAAGGCGCGTCAATTCCACTGAGAGCGAACGGACAAGACTCACCTAATAACCTGAAGATATTCATGATGGCGAATTAAGTCAAATCACCTTAACCTCAGGTACGTAATGCAGATTATCAAATGCTTGTTCAGTCCAATAGAGGGGTATCAATAAAAATCGGCCATGGGAGTGCTTATGACGAAGCTAGACCTCCTATGTTATATGCAATTGTTCTGCTAGCAGTACTGAAATATGCCTAGATGTTGACACGAAGCCTCAAGTGTATGCGCCACAGGGAGCGCCCCACATCATGTGTGATGCCGTAATACAAATATAGCCAGCCACCAACAGGGACTGCGGGCAGGGTCCACGGTACCTGGCTACCTGCAGCAGCAGCTAACTACTTTGATCTTGATCTGTCTTAGCTAACCGAACACCTGCCCCATGTGAATCAATTCTAACTATATCAGGTAAGGCAGAGTTCGCACTACCTTTACCTATACTCGGGGAGGGCCGAAAAGGACCAAAAAGGGTTAAAAAACCAAAAAGGAAAAAAAGGAAAAAAGGGGGAAAAAAAGAAAAGAAATAGAAAAAGAGAGAGAGAGAGAGAAAGAACTGGGAATAAGAAAGAAAACCATTACGCTTTTAGATATATAGTAGAAAATGCACATATGAAGCAACCATTACTCATTGGTGCATTTCTTGTAAACTATGCTCCACTGTCAGAAAGCTTCAAATTTGTAAATTGTCCTGTGAGATGAGGATCTTTGACAGAATAAGATACTGCGAATCACGAGATGTGCGCGAAAGCGGAAGTTATTATATGTTTTCTACTTGTTCTTCTATTTGATACTGCAATGGCTGGTATGTCAATAATAATGTGCAACCTAATGTCAGAACATCGCACCAGCATGGACGCCTTCACCATCAGCTATTCGCTGTAAATGTCCTTCTGCCAGTTCACTCTTTAATGCACAAATAGAACTTTCCCTGTCAAGCCTATCCCAATCTCGAATCCCAGCTCGCCTTAGCTTCTGACTGTCCGCAATTTGTTCAAAAAGTCTGTCTTTGTCTGCTTCCAGTTGAGACAGGCGCTTTTCCAGGGCAATATCAAGTGCGGTTGGGATAATTTTGCCTTCGGGTATAATTTGGCGAAGGCCGGCAAGGTGACTAAGATGTCTCGGGAAACGAGGAGGGTAGGAAGGCCCGGTAACGCTACCTTGTCTGCTGGGATGAGAGCGGGGCAGCTCGACGCCGGGACCTGTTGACATAATACTACTGCGCGGACCAGTCGGTGGGGAACCGTGGAGTCCGGTAGACGCAGGCCCACGGCGGACTGGAGAGGCTGCCCAGGACGACTCCTTAAAACTTGGACCGCCGCGTGGCCGAGTTGGAGCTGACAGCAACGAAATATTTGACCCACGATTCTGCAACATTACTTTGGACCCATGCGATGGGCCAGATGGTGGTGTTTGACCTTGTAACATATGGCTGTATGCCTTTGGCTGTACTGGAACGTTGCGGGATTGGTATGTTTCTGGTTGGCCAGACGGTAATCGAGGGGCTTCAGGTACTCGTTGTTGGGACCTGACGCTTCCAAAATCCTGCCCATTGCCCATAGGTCGTTCAGGTGCTGGCGATCTATGCCTCGGTTCCTCGGGTGCAGGCTTGCGACTGACCGAACGGGCTCGCTCTTCTCGAGTGGATGACCGATCTGAAGTCCTTGAAAGACATCTAGGAGGGTTCTGATGGGTTGGCGACCGGCTTGGGGCATTGGATGAATTCATATTGAGTCTTTCGGTAAAAGGAGACGATCGTCTTGAATTTGGAAGTGAGCCAGATGCGGAGGTACGCATAGGTGATGCGCCCTTAGGGGATACTGATCGCCGCTTCTTGTTAAATGGAATGTCCAGGTGGCGTTCCCTGCGTCCTCCATGAAAAGGGCTTCTGGATCTATGGGGAAGTGGTGCACGGTTGCCACTATCACGGAATGGAATGTCAGGCTTTGTATATATGTCGCCAGGAGGTTGATTCCGCTCTCGCCTAGAAAATCTGTAGTCATGACTGCGCGGTGAAATATCCCGGGGGCGTTTGTGGTTACTCCGATTCCATGAGATATCACGCTGGCGGCTCTCGCCATAGGGAGACCTTGAGCGCCACGAGGCCTGGTGAGGCGACCGATTTCGCACCTCACCTCGTCTGGGCGAGAACCGCCTCGGCGATGGACACGGCTTTGAAAAGGTGCCCATTCCAACTTCCCCCCTGTAGAACGATGGACTGCGTGAGAGGCGACGTCTTGGAGCCGGTGGTGAGCGACTACGCACACGGCCATACGTCCGACCATGTGATGGTACCCATGTATCTGCAACAAGACGAGGAGAGTGAACTCGCGGGGGGGATCTGCTGCGTCGTATATAAGCGCGAGGAGCACCAGGACGGTAACTCTCTCCGCCACGGAGATCATCAAATCTATTCGCGGTCATCTTCTTAGCCACTACCAAGACGAGGGGATGGGGGATTGCTCGAACCAACCTTCTACTGCGATCCCAATCCATCTTTTTCCGTATCGTCAAAAGTATGATCCTGCGCACTCGGTAGTTACACTTGATTCAGGCTGTCGGTTCAGTTTATGCTCATTTTAAAATGGAGATTGGTACATGCTGTACGGAACAGTCCGGATTCCATCAATGTACAGCGTTGTAACGGGTATTTAGTATCACGTGCTTTCCAAAGTCTCACCATTGGGCACGGGGACAGGTGCTATGCTTCATAGCGCATGAGACCTTTAGTCTTCATTGTTTATTGTACGGAGATCACAGACAAAGCCCCGGAGTTTGGTTTTTCACAGGGGATCTTCGATCATTACATATGATGTGATACTGTCTACCAGCTTGGCCTTATGAGCCTATCGCAGCTAAATAACTTCTTTGACTATGAAGTCAATGTCCACCAAAATGTCAGTTTTTCGAGGTTTCAATGTTGGTGAACATTGCAGTTTTCGAAACCAAACTGTAACTTTCCGGTGGTCAAGGCAACTCCGGCCACTAGAGCAAATTCATGAATAATATTAGTGCAAGAAAGCTACAAAACCAATACCTAAATCAAGTTTGATAGTCATGCTCGATTTAACAACAAAGGCTGATTGAGATACATTATCTTTGTGCTAGATGTGCTTTCTTAATTTCCATGATCTTTTCGATTAGAGGTTCATTTGACAATGCCTGCTCGGCCGCCTCATTTCCTGCAATTGCTTTATTAGAACCCTGACCAGAGCCAAGGTGCTTATGGTTCCAACCCCAACCAGTGAGATATACTCCGATAAAATACGTCTGTAACCCCCTGCCGCGCTGAGCAGGAGGCCGTTCATCGATGTAATTAAGTTTAATCCCCTTGCCCATGATTTTCTTCGCAAGTGCTTCTTTGGCATGCAAGGAGGACTTCGGCTTTCCAAGCTTTTCAAGCTCCGGAGACCACAACTGTCTTAGCCATTCCTCAGCCACACGATAACCATTGCTTGTATCTGACAGGACAACGGCAGCTACATAAGCCTCAAAGATGTCCGCCTTAGTTTTGAGCCATCTTTTGGGTTGCTTTTGGTAGTCCGGGGGTACGGAAACCCTGCTGTCGAGTCCGTACTTAGACGCATAATCAGACAAGGTCTCATTCTTGACAAGTCTCTCTCGGATCTGTGATATTCGACCGGAAGGAATATCCTGGAATGTGTCCCAGATGAGCTTTGTCGAGATAAGTTCTATATATGCATCTCCGAGAACCTCCAGCCGATCATAAGTAGCTCCGATGTTGCTGCTCACACCTGGGTGAGTGAAGACTGCCCTCTCAAGCACGTCATCCAATATCGGAGGTAACCGCGGCAAGCAAGACTCCATTTTTGCTTCGGATGTCTCTAGCGGCAGTGTCGCATCCTGAGAGCATTTAGTAGTAGACGTAATGGCACCTGCTGCGCGCTGTAATGCAGCGTCGAGCTCAGTGGCTGCAGTCAAGATATCGGCGTCGGTCTGAAATCCGCGGCTTTCAGAGATGCCTTGGCTCTGTATAATATCCTGGAGCAATGTTCTCAGAAGCACGACATTATTCTCTTTGCTTTGCGGGCTGTGCGTGGAGGGGATTGATTCTTTCGCAAGCGGCAAGTCATCATCGTACTTCGGTAGTGTTAGTGCAAGCCGGGGCACACGAAAGTATATGTTCACCTTTGCTTTCTTTTTTCCGCTATTGGAAGGTAGTGAAAACACTGATTTTCGTTTCGAACACATGATGGTCATGGCGTGACCGTTCATAATTCATACATAGAACTAGACTCAGATGCCAAAGTATGGACAATGGGTTATCACGTGATAAGGTTGGTAGTTGTATCTGAACAGAAACTCCGCCATCGCTACCCTAACAGTATCCATCCGAACACGCCGTGTCGACAATGGCAGCGCCGTACAGCAGACTGCTTGATCTGGTCAAGGTATTTAACAGAGCGCAGCTTAGCTGGGATAATCCCTTGTCTGGCTTTTTTTTCCCCTTCCAGGCTAATCCGTATCACCCCGGCCAGGTCCAATGTCGGATCTTCTCGCTGAACTTCAACCCCGAAAGAGCGCGATTGGGAAACAAGATTCTACGACAGCGCCTGCGTGGCCCGGCGCTGGCAGCATGGTACCCGAGAAAGACGGTCTCGTTTCGTGATTTGCAGGACACATACAGCCGCTCAGGTCTAACAATGTTCGATGAGGCTGAGGATGATCGTGAGGAAGCAATTCAAATGTATGTTGCTTAGGAGTCTTTCTTCTAGCATATGCTTATTGACCTGTGATAGTGCGAAGTTACGAGGGAAGGGTCGACCCAAAAAGAAAAGAACGGCTGCAGGTAAGGTTCAAAAATCAGGAACAGTTTGCGCGCAATTGTTTAACTTGTGAACATAGAATCGCGATCAGCAAAAAAGAAGAAATAGATTCCTTGTGGCAAATGAGGTTGAACTATCAGTTCTATTGCAAGGGATTGTCCACCATGCTGTGCATTATGGCCTAAAACCAAGCTGTTGGTTTATCGCTCCCTTTAAGCTTATCCGGTTTGACGTATTTTTTATCACTGTTTGTTCTCCCTTTATTCATTACCTTCGGGGTCTGTATAGTATAAGATATATAAATTCGAACATGACAACAATCTGATGTGTTGTACTTAAGCTAAAAAGCAGTTGTTGTCAGACCATCGAGTAGATTTTCGAAGAAAGAGCTAGTCATAGGTACATTTCACAATGTCATTTGCAAAGAAATAGGATTTCCATGACGACCTATTACTAGCACTTGGTCGATCGGACGGGAGTTGAAGGGACCAATCAATGAAGGGAGCCGGTGGTGATGAGATCACATGACTGGTCCAGAATGCCGCTAAATGGGACTCTTATCATAGTGGCCTAGATAGTGCAGAGATCCCAGGAGGCTAATAGTAACATCTACAACGGAACCCACGATCTTGCACTACTCCTCGTTGCTCTTTCTCCTAAGAATACAACTCTTGAGCTGGGCCCAATCCATTCCAGGAAATTAGGGTGCATCTAAGCTGAGCGCATTGCAAGCACAGGAGTTATATAAGGTGAAGCTTTCGCGAGGAAAATGGGCAAGAACCAGTTGAGGCGGGCTAGGAAAAAGGCTCTTAAATCACAGGTATGATCTGTGCAATGCTTTATTGGAGAATTACTCACTTTTTGCATCAGGCGACTGAGACGTCCTCAAACACACCCCATGCGCAGGCCCAGGTCGATGAAAACAAATCGCCAAGTATCTCCAAGGCTGCTAGTACAGAGCTACAAATCACGGTGTTCCCGGATTCTGCCGATCCACTATGGCAGATGTATAAGGATATCGTTGACAAATTTGAAGAACCCGAAGATGAAAAATCGAGTTTGAAGGAGCCTCCAAAACCAGAAATCTACTTTGACGATGATAATGAAATACCGGATGAGGAAGAGAAAGAATCTTCTATATCGAAACGGAAGCGAAAGGAATTAAACAAGCTTTCTGTCGCCGAACTGAAAGCGATGGTCCGAAGGCCTGAAATAGTCGAATGGACGGATACATCAGCCCCTGATCCTCGGTTGCTTGTCCATTTAAAGGCACAACGCAATGTTGTCCCCGTGCCTTCGCATTGGAATCTGAAACGGGAATACCTGTCTTCCAAGAGAGGTATAGAAAAGCCACCATTTGCTCTTCCCAAGTTCATCCAGGAAACCGGAATCTCGGAGATGCGCGATGCTGCATTGGAGAAACAGGAGCAGGCAACGTTGAAACAGAAACAGAGGGAGCGAGTTCAGCCGAAAATGGGAAGATTGGACATTGATTATCAAAAACTATACGAGGCATTTTTCCGGTTCCAGACTAAGCCTGAGCTTACGCGGTATGGCGAAGTCTATTACGAGGGCAAAGAATACGAGACCAATCTTAGACACCTCCGGCCGGGTGAGTTGAGTGCTGAGCTGAAAGAGGCGCTTAATATGCCACCTGGCGCCCCTCCTCCTTGGTTAATCAATCAACAACGATACGGCCCGCCCCCTTCTTACCCGGCTCTGAAGATTCCAGGTCTCAATGCCCCTCCGCCCCCTGGCGCTATGTGGGGATATCATCCTGGAGGTTATGGAAAGCCTCCAGTCGATGAGCACAACAGACCTTTGTACGGTGGCGACATATTCGGTGTGCTACAACCTCAGCAATCCGTGCAGCAGGGCGAACCCGTTGAAAAAGACCTTTGGGGAGAATTGCAAGAACCAGATATCTCAGAGGATGAAAGCGAGGAAGAGGAGGAAGCAGACAGTGCGGATGATGATGATGATGTCGATGACGTTGAGGCAGGAGTGCAGACCCCAAGTGGATTAGAAACCCCCAGTGGGTTGGCTTCTGCTGTTCCATCTGAGATGACGGGTCCCGAGAATATTGCTGGTGAGTTCGACGTACGAAAGCACTATCGGGGAACTCAGACCGAAGAGTCGGTGGGCCAAAGAAGCGCTTTTCAAGTCATCCCAGAGAGACAGACGCAAGTACAGGGGTTTTTCGGTGCTGATAGGGCATATGACCTTGGTGCATCCTCGAACACTCTGCCTGTGCTCGGCTCTGATGACAGTGGCAAGAAACGCAAAAGGCCTGGAGACGTTGACGTATCTGTTGATCCCGATGCATTGCACGCGAACGATGGCATTGATCGAGAGGATATAAAAAGGTTATACGATTCCCAGAAAAAACAAAGCAATCCAGGCTGGGATTTTCAGGAGGATCTTAGCGACATGATTGCGCATGAGAGCCGAAAGAGGCTGAAATAGGCAGATGAATAAATAGCCATACTTCTTCCTGCTAATACGACTATTTGGACAGCTACCGGTTCTTTTCCATGGCTACTGCTTCAAATAGGTGTGTCATTCTCATGTGTTGAGGGGCGTTTACCATCATTTTGGTTGATCGGTGGGCTAATTAGTTAATTCATACACCTATGTTGGCCCCAACGGCAACTTATACAATGACATATGTCAAAAGGACCTGATGGTCTCTTCCACTCTTCCGTCACTTCTCTGTGGATGAAACAGCTGTTAGCTAAATTATTTGTATCAATACTTTCTCCAGGGATTTCTAGCATAGAAGGACAAGAAATATGAGTTTTGTTGAGAAGTAGGGCAACCAGTGCCAACGGGTAAATACGATCTCTACAGGTCAGACATTTGATACAGAACTGCAAGTCATATAATCCAAATAATATTATAGCATTATATATTTCTATTATATTATATTGACTTTCCGGGCCTATAGAAAAACTAGGAGTGTAGTTAGAATAAAACAATACTTATTATATTTACTATAGAAAGGATTAGATGTGCCCCAAGCTTATCCTAGCTGACTAGCTCTAATCTCTGTTTGAGGTGTTAGAGTAGAGCGGTCGGTTGGCTGTATATAATCTTGAGGAGTGCTCTACAGCAAGCAATGAAAGCAGTAATTAATTGAAAAGACACGAAGCAAAAAAGTAAGTTAAATTCAGCTATCTAAAAGAGTAAAATAAAGTAATATAAAAGATGCTTTATATAGGCGGTCTAAGCATAATATACAATTATCTTACATAAATATTTCAATACAGCGTCCTAGACAAGTATATAGAAAGATATTAAATAATATCTTAAATATTCTTTGAATAAGTAATCTTTTATATAGCAAATATCATTTCCTGGATTTTAAAAAGGAATGATTAATAGAATTATCTTTGAAAAATCTGTAAATCATAGATCTTTTTCCTAATCTAATAGTTCAATTAGACTGTCTACAGGACTATAAATATTTATAATATATTAAGTTAATATAATATTTTTCAATAAGATAGTATAAATAAATAACATTTAATTAATTATTTGATAAACTACATATAGGTACTATAATTAAAACTTTATAATAGATCAATAGTACTATTAAACAAAATAATCTTATTGATATTTAATATTCTAAGATTGTGATAGGATCTACCTGTCAGAATAGAAAGCCTGTTGACTAGATAATGAATTAGTTATTAAATATTATAGATTTATATAATAACAATAAAGATGGTCTATATTGTTTGTTTGTTTGTTCATTTTATTCCTTACTCTGTTTCGGAACCTTGCAGGCCATGCCGGAGGTTCTAGCTAGATTATATTATCTTATCTGATTTCTTCAGCTATAGCAGTAGCTATTTTAATTTCTTTTATATAAACAACTTATACAGACAGCAGTAGTATATAATTATTATAATATTTTTATCTATTTAATATATATATTTGCAAGACTTTAATATTTTATTAATTTTGTTATTTCTTTTATATATTTCTTATAATTACTTATCTAATAGTCTATTCAGTATTATCTTAATAACTTAGTATTATATTACTGATTAGTTAATTAATAATTATTATCTTGTATCACGTTCCATGCGCTCTTATATTTAAATCTTATATTAAATTTCTTTATTAAATCTTTTATTTATTTACTTACTTACTAGTCTTTTATTATTAATTATTTTATTTTTATAATATTTATTATATTTGGTATTTATACACGTGCTTGAATATATTTTGTGAATAATTATTTATCTATCTTATTTATTATCTTGTTTATATCTTACTTTATCTTATAATTATTATACTAACTATTACTTATATAATTTAATTATTTAATTTGTTTACCTCTGATTCCTTCTCTTTAATAATATTTACTAAAGTAGTAGAAGATTATATTATTTAAATATAAAAAACAAATTTCAGGGAATAAGTTCTAATATTTCTATTTACTAGAGTTATTAAGAACTAGATATTACTAGAAATCTAATTTAAAAATAATTATTTTATTTATATATCCTGATTTATTAAGTATCTTTATAGAAAAGCTAAAGCTGTTAAAAATATATTGATTTATTTATATAAAGTTTAAAGTAGACTATTTATGATATATATTTTAGTAATAAATTATTTATAAGATCAAAAAATACAGCCAGGTCTTATAAAATATTTTCAATATTATATTTCTAGATTTTTTTAAAATATATTATATTTTTGTAGATAATTAATATATAGAATATTGTTTCTAGATTTCTGTACAAGCAGCAGTCAGTATTAACTTTTTTAATATTATATAAATATATATTAATATTAATCTTTCTTATATAAAGCTATATAATAATATTTTATTTAATTCTATTAAAATTATTATACAGAATTATAATACAGGGAGTAGATTCTAGTAGTAGTTTATATAAATAATATCTATACAGGAATATCTTTTATTTCTTCTTTTACTTGTTATTTATAGTCTTCTTAATCTATATATCCAGTGGGATGTAAGCAGGAGCAAGAGGCTTTATCAAAGCAGCAGGATCAGCCAGGGGGTCGGCTGGGATCCCCTCGGCCCTGCCTCTCGCCAGCCGGTGGCCTCTTTGGCCTTGACATCCGCGACTTCGATTTCTGCTATATAATTTCTGTAATTATTTATCTAATATTTTATTTAAAGTGAGCTTGTTAATTTAATACTGTATTATAAATATTATTATGTATTATATTCTGTATATTCTTATATATAAATCCTGTATTAAATTTATTTATTTATTTATTTATTTATTATTTATTTATTTTATCTACCTGCCTGCCTGCTTTATTTCTACTTTATAATTATTTTATTTATTATTATTTATATAACTTATTTATTTAAATTCTCTATCTTTAATTTAGTCTCTTTAATGATTTTTATTAAAATAATGAAAGTTTGTATTATCTGGATATAAAAAATAAATTTTAGAAAATAAGTTCTAATATTTTATAAAATGTTTATATTTATTAAAATCATTAAGAACCAGGTACTACTGGAAGCCTGATCTATGTGGGAGCCAATCAAATAATCCTATTTAGTATGTTTAAACTAGAATATTGAACATGAGAGAGAAAAGAAAAGAAATATAAAAAAATATATAATATAAATAATAAAATACGCAAGTAAGATAAAATAAACAGAATAAATAAATAAGATTATGTATATATACTAAAGTAAATAAAAACTATATTATATATTTTAATTATATTATTTATTATTATATTACTTTTTTCTTTAAGACTGGCTATTTTAAGCTAAAGATATATTATTATCTTTATAGTTTAATATAAATTTATCAGTCTCAGCAGCAGCCAGCTACTATAATAATTACCTAAAAAATTTGAAATAAATAAGATATTTAATATAATAATCTTATAAATAAAATAAAATATTTTTCAAAATTTTTAGTTAAATATTATATATATTCAGCTTTATCTGAAGTAAGCTATTTAATTTTATATTATAAACATTTATAATATAAGTAATTAATAATTATTTTGTTTAATTTTTTATCTTATTTAATTATTAATTTTAATAGAAATAGTAGTATTTTAAATCTAGTTAAATAAAATCTTTAATAAATTTTATAAATATAATTTTTAAGATAAAAGATCAGGTGCATGTGTATATTCTTTAAAAATAAATTATATATATATTATATATTATATTAATAATTAAAATAAATTCATATTAATTATTCAAAAGTTTTTATAAGACTAGCCCCAGTGCTAGTTTTTTATATTAATAAAAATTTTATTATTAATATTAAAATTCTTTAAACACTATTAATAATTTATTTATTAAATTTAGTATTTTTAGATTCTTTTGAATACTCTTTTAAATAAAGAGCTAGATTTATTTTATTTAATAAATAAATTTCTATATATAATTCTAAATAATTTTATATAATAAAAATCCACAAAATTTAGATAAAAAAATAATATTAATAAAATTATTAAATATAATTATCTCTGAATACAGAGACTAGTTTATTTGTTAATTTAAAGATAATATACAGTAGATAATTTTAATTTAATTTATAAGATTTTAGAGAAATTATTCTAGAAATTAATTATAAACTAGTCTCTGTATTCAGAGATAATCATATTTAATAATTTTATTTAGATATATATTTAATTTATAAATAAATATATTATATTTTAGATAAATATTTATTTAACATGTAGAATAAAGACTATATATGTATAAAAATAATTTACTATAATAAAACTATATTATAACTATAACAATCTTTTAAAAAAACAAAAATTTATTAAAATATATTATTTTAAATATATAAAAATCAGCAGGAGATAGAGCAGGCCTAAAAATAAATCATAATAAATATTTTTATATTAATATATTAAATAATTATTTATATAATATCAGATATCTCTGTTCTAGATACTCTAATAATATTAATATTTTAGAAAGATTATTCTTTTTATATATCCAGAATATATGATTAATAATCAAATAATTATATCCAAAAATATCTCTTATCAGAGATTATTAGTTAATTTTAATATAATGATAATTTATTTTATTTTTTAGAAAGAACTTATTATCTAACTGGTATACTTTTTTTAAAAGTTTTTTTTAAACTTTTTACAAATAAGTAATTATAGTAAGTATTTAATATATAATTTATAATATAAAAATTCAATTTTATAAGGGCTATTATGATAGCAGATTTATAAAAAATATAAATTTAAATTTAAAAATAATTTTTAGTTTTAACTAGTCAGGCTTCAGTAATATTTAAAAATTTATTATTTTTAATGATTTAATAATAAACTTTTTACATGTAACATAATTAGCAAAAATATTTTACAAATAATTAAATAATAAAATAATAATAAAAGAATATTTCTGTCCAGTAGATCTATTAAATATTAAATTTTTTAATAATTATAAAATATTTTAAGACTTAGTAATTTATAAA